CAACCTATAGTCGGATTTTCAACTACACACTTTATTTTTGCGGGGGTCCTATTACCCCCCTGAACTATTTTTAAATGAAATTAGTATCACCCTGAAATGCCACTACCACATCCGTATTTGGTGGTGAAATACACGTGCCTGACACATGTATTTCCCATTAAAATCATTTTCTCTTACTTTTTCTCCATCTACTTCCTTTCCCAACTCAATTTTTGTATTTTTTAAAATTCTTTGTCCCTTTTCACACAACTCACCTTCTCCCATCCCCCAACCCACAAGTGAAGTAGCGTAATCTTTTTGGTTGAAGAAGTAGATAGGAAAACAGTGAGCTCCTAGAAAATTTTCTAGCAATCAACAATCAACAATCAAATTCTTCTTTCTTGTTCTCTCTTTTATGTAAATTTGATTAATTAAAAAAATAGGACTCCCCTCACCTACCTCACTACCTAAAGTAGTGAAAGGCCGAAGGCCCTAATCGGGAAACGGCGAGCATGGCGAGAATATTTTTTGCAAATAATAATCAAAACCCTTTTTCTTGTTCAGTCTTTTCTGGGCTTCTTTCGGGTTTAATCAAAAATTAATATTGGGACGAGATTTTTTCACTCCTTTCTGTGAGAAGCAATTGCAATTGAAAGTTTAAAGGTGGTGAGTGAAGAGATTAGAAATAGCAGTAATCCTCTATAAAGTGTAGTGAAATATGTAGAGGAAAGAATAAAATCTTCAACTCAATCTCGCCGAAAAATATGGAGAATGCCAGAGCTAATTTTCGGCCAATCTGTAAGTAACAAAACTGGAGGAAAGAAAAGGAAAAGAAAAAGAAAAACCAGAGAAAAGAAAAAATAGAAAAATAGTACTCCTATATTTTATAAAATGTTATAAAAATAAAATTTCAGCATTCTCTCTCTTTCTCACTCTCCCAAGGAGAGTGGCATACACTCTCTTCTGCCACATCAGTACTAAGGGTATAGTAATTTCATTTAAAAATAGTTTAGGGGGGTAATAGGATCTCCGTAAAGATAAAGTGTGTAGTTAAAAATCCGTCTATAGGTCAGGGGGCACTTATGCATTTTTTCAATATTTAAACAAACACGTTAGTTCGAGCTACACATAATAATGAAGGTTATTCATGAACATGAGGGGAATTATTATAACATTTTTGTTTCTAAACCTTCCGGTCCGAAATTTTTATTTTGATAGTTAAAACTTTAGACTTTCAGGTGTAACCATATAAAGTTATGTTATGGTAGTCCAAAATTACAGATCCGATAGGTCTAAGGAAGAAAAAGATTCAATATGAAATTTTCCAAAGTTTGCTAAACTTTAGGTAACTATCAAAACTATATATGTTTTTTATGGGTACTACAAGCGGCTACCCGATACCATTTTTAAGAAAATAAAACAAATAAGATATTCGATGGACCATAACACTTGTTGACACTTGACAGAGTGCTAATAATATTTACATGTTATATTTCATTTCATATTTTTTTCTTTTTTTTGATAACTAACTTAATTTTATTAATCACCAAAGAAATATTTACATTTCCATAGCTAAGCTCACACAACTAGCTATCTCATTAAGTGACTACAGGATACTCCACAACCATTCCCAACTAAGTTCTAACTACTATCTACTAAAACAAATGCCAGAAAGACACAAAAATCTATTCAAACCGAAGACTATGCAGATAGATTATGGTTCTAGGTAGCTCTCGTGCACTGCATATATAAGCAACTTCCTTCGCAATAGTTCCCCATTGTCTGCTTCTCTGTTCAAAGACTCTGAGGTTCCTTTCAATCCAAATCTGATACATAGCTTCTGCAAATACCATCTTGAACACTTGTGCCTGCTGAGATTTGCCTTTAGAACATGTGATGTTCCACTGGTTATGTTGCTGCCATTCTCTGTTTCTAGGGCATTGAAGTTGCATCCATTGAAGTAGTTTGTTCCAAACACTTTTAGTGTACTCACACTTCATAAATAAGTGTTCTCTATTTTCCTACTGCCTTTGACAAAGTACACATTGTGTATCCACATTAAGTCCCCATTTACACAACCTATAAGAAGTTAATAACTTTTCATGCATTATAAGCCACATTGAAAATTTTGCTTTTGACCGCGCTGCATTGGTAAACAATAAACTTTTCCATTCCACTCGATTGTAATCACCAAGCAGGGTCAAGTTGTTTTTACCTGATTAAACTTTTCTTGTGTGGCTGCATATACTGTTGATTCTCTAGAACTTTCTTGGCGTCAAATACTTTCCTAACCATCCAACAAGCTTGTTGCGGTGTTGTCCAATTGGTGAATTTCTGCCCCTTGATATAGTATGTGCGGATCCATCGAATCCATAGTTTATCCTGCTTATGTGCCAAATCTCAGCAAGTTTTGGCTATTGCTGCACGATTCCAAATCCTTAGATTGGTGATATTGAGGCCACCTCCAGCCTTAGGCAGGCACATTCTATCCCACGCAACCAAAGCTTTTTTTGTGATTACATTACCACCTAACTAGATATATGATCTGCATATTCCTTCAATCAACTTGACCACCTTGGTAGGTATCACAAACAGCTGAACCCAGAAAGCTTGAATTCCATTTAATATACTCTGTACTAACTGCACCCTCCCTGCATAAGGACAGTGTTTTAGCAGTCCAAGAAGTGATCCTTGCAGTCATTTTGTCTATAAGGGGTTGCCACTGCAATATACTGAGTTTCTTTGTAGATAATGAAACTCCAAGATACTTGAAGGGTAATTCTCCAGCTGTGAATCCTAAGTACTGCAAAATCTGCTGCTTATGCTCTGTAGGAACTCCACCAAACTAGACTTCACTCTTGTTCATGTTTGCCTGCAGTCTAGATACCTGAGTGAATTGTAGAAATTTTTGTTGAATTGCCTTTATAGAATTGATATCACCTCTAGTAAATAGCAGTAGATCATCAGCAAAGTTAATGTGAGTTATCCCCAACTTAGCACATCTAGGGTGATATTTGAACTCTCTAACTTCCTTAAGACAGTTAAGATTTCTGCTCAGGAACTCTATTACAATCGCAAATAAGAAAGGTGATATTGGTTCGCCTTGTCTTAATCCTTTAGCAATATTAAAAGGAGTTGTTGGCTCCCTATTAACAATGATGGAATAGTTGATAGTTTGAACACATTCCAAAATCCATGAGGTAAAAAATATGCATTGTATTCATCTATTCCGGGTACTTTATCTTCTCCAATAGAGCATAGTCCTTCATAGATCTCTTCCTCAGTTACATCTTTACAAAGTTCCATTCTCTGTTGTTATGAAAGCCTTGGTCCTTTTTGCATTACCAACTTGTCTATTGCAGGTAGTGAGTGAGCAGCAGTCCCCATCATTGATTTATAGAAATCAACAATCTCCACTCTTATAGCTTCCGGATCAGTTAGTCTATAACCTGCAACTGAATGTAGTTCCTGGATATGCTTCCTGTGGACCCTTTCCTTTATCACAGCTGTAAAATACCTTGTATTAGAGTCACCTAATTTTATCCATTTAGCTCTAGCTTTTTGTCTTAAGGCTCCTTCTTCTAGCATATCCCATTTTTCTAGGCTTTGGGTAAGATTTTTCTCCTTCTCAGTCAGCTCATCAGTACAACCAGCATTAATGTTCTTTTGAACTATGAGAAGCTCATTCCTAGCAGTGTCAATCTTCTGTCTAATGAATTTAAACTCTTCAATATTAAGTTTCCTGAGTAATGGTCTGAGTTTCTTTAATTTCACCCAGATGTCCTGCATTGTCCACCCGTACACTCTTTGGCTCCAAACTTGTTGTACAATACTTAGGAATGTTTCATGTTCAGCCTATACATTGAAAAACTTAAAAGGAATTCTCCTTCTGCCCTGGTCTACTGTGAGATTCAAGCTCATAGAAGCATGATCAGATATGAAAGGAACATCATATACAGTAGTGATGTGTCCCCATTGCATATTATTTTTCATATTAGCTTTTAGTCATGATATTAAATTAAGGTTAAATATTTTATGAAAACAAAAAGTTCAAGCTAATTACTTTGTTTTAACCTTTTTATAACATAGTAAATGATATTTAGCAAGTTGTGATAGCATAACACTTAATATTGAGTTTGCATTTTACTAATTGATCTTGCATTTTTTAGCCTTCAATAATATAATAATATATATATATATATATATATATATACACACACACACACACACTTCATACACATGCTTTAATAATACTTATGTAATTTTTAAAAAATATGTACTATAAGATGTAATATACACGTGCACCGCACGTACCCTAAAACTAGTTATCTTAGTTTAAAAAAAGAACTTTTGCTTTTTAAATTAGTGCTCGTGCTAGTTTGTCACACAACTACTACTTCATTAGTTTGTCACAAATATTATGTAATTTTATCCATTAAAACTTAGATATGAGAATAATATTTACTATTGTATCAAGTAAGTTTGTCCATTAAAATTAATTATGCGAAAAAATCATCTGCTATTATTATTATTTTTAGCTCCGTTAGAATTTAAACTCTCTTGGGAATTTGACGCTTTGTTTTTCAACACAGTTTTTTGGTACTCTTGGATTCTATCTGAGTCTCCTAAAAGAAATTGTTTTGCAGTGAATTGACAATTAAAGTAAAAATAGTTAAATTCAATCGAATTAAATTTTGATTCTACGATGAGTTTATGAAGGTAGTTGTTGGAGACAAGAAAAAGTTACAAAGTTTCTGATTTTTCTTTTATTTTTTCTCAAAGGAAAAAAATTACGTACTAACCAGAAGAAGTTTCTATACCATCATGATAATTTTTTTTTTTTTTTTTTTTTTTTTTTTTTTTTTTTTTGCTTTTAGATGTGTTTTTCCTGTTATGCAATATATGTTTTATGTACATTCTTATTCTTTGAATAAAGATTAATCTCAGCCCTCAAACGGAAGTTTTTCAGTTCATTTTTTCCGAATTAACTTGTATACAGCGCATAGCATGACAAATACTGATATACTAAGTATAACAAGTGACGAAATTAAAGAACTTGAACTTGCATTATAAACAAACTGAGACACAACTTGTGTCTTTGCCATAAATTGAAAGCACTAACATCTATGTAACTAACTAAAATTGATTAAGAGGATTCAACACAGTCCCTATGAACAAAACAACACCAGTAGCATCATCTTTCACAAGGAACAAGAAGGGATGATCAGCAACAAAATCTATCGTCTCCTCTTTAATCATCATCCTTGAGCACCCTAATAACATTGTAGCGGCAGTAACAGCTGCAGCTTCTGTACCTTCCTCATTAACTTCAATAAACGACTTGTGAAAAACTTTTGTTACAAACAGAGGGTAAATATCGTCCACTATCTCAGCGAGACCATCACCATAGAAAGGATGTGTGAGACCAAGTCCTGTTAGAAGGTTCGAAGCTTCAAACCCAAAAGTTATTTTGAATTTGGGGATAAGAAACTTGCGCACTCTAACTTTTTCTAATGGAATATGTCGATTTAAGAATCCAGGTTCTGAACTAATTTTCTCCAGTAAAGCTGGTAATCCGACACGGGCATTTGGGAGATATATATACATGCTGAGACATCGCATGTCCTCGCCCTGTTTATAAGGACGCTTTAGCACTTTAAAACCATTAAAGGCCTTTACGTATTGCCATTTTCGGCTGGTCATGAAAGGTGCTTGAACTGATCCTCCATTGAGGAGATGAAACTCCTCGTCTTTTGTATCTGAAGCATTTAACTTCTCATTCCATACTCCTTTGAAATATAATGCATTGGCTAAGATGAGGACTGTATCGCTTTTGACTGAATCTTGAGGAAGAATCTCCTCGATTAGACCATATGTTTCCTCTTTAGCCCACTTATTGACTTCATTACGAACCTCTTCAGCCTTAATAAAATCAGAGATCATAAAATCAGCAGGCTAATATAGTTGAAATTTAAAGAAAAAAATATATTCTATATGCACATTATAGAAGTGGGCTATATTGTTGTTACATGTCGTTTCATGTATCGTATTGTACTGTTTGATGAATATTCCATGTCTACGGACATGCTCATCAACATATATATGCAAAAGGATTTTATCAAAATTTTGTTTTAAACATTACATCAAGTAAATCCAAACGCTGTGTTACCAAAGTTACTACCAATATTTGCATTGAAGTGATACATGAACCGAAGGGTAAAAAGATATTTTGCCACTAATTTTGATATATATATATATATAACACTTTATGCACTTCATGAATATGAAATCGTAATACTATGTGAAAGGGGAATTCTTAATTTACAGCTGACATTTAGGTAGTGATTTGATTACACGAACAATTTATTGCAATAAATAAAACATACCTTGTTCTGAAAATCAACAGAATTGGAAGCAGCCTTATAAACATTGTCCATAATCTGTTTGAAAGAATGCTTAAAAGACAGAGATTGGTCAATCCAAGCCCCATTAGCAACAGACAAACGAGGACCTCCCATAGGGCTGCCATCGACAAGGGAATTAGAGACGATCCAAGAATAAAGAGAATTAACTTCTTCAATGGAGTTGAGCTTGAGGAAAGACAACAGTTGGTCCAAGGTCGGGCCTTTGGAGCCAGCAGCAATTAGGGCCAGAACTAATTGAATGGAGAGCGGTGAAAATACCATGTTTGCGTTTTTGGACTCGTTGTCTTCTTTAAACTTGCTGAAGAATAGGTGTTTAGCAAGAATCAAAGAAACGTCACTCTGCTTTTGAATTGAGTTCCACAGATCCATACTACAAACAGATTTGTCCATTAATAAAGGGGATCTGATCGAGTTCATACTCTGAAAATAAGAAGGGAAATCCATATTGGAGAAGATGGCTATATTTCTGATGAGTGACAACTTGAGATTGGAGACTCTCGTTATATATATAGAGGTTAAGTTGTTAGCCTACTCTATTAAGGTTTGCGTTCATTCCGTGTTTCTGATTATAATAGGAGACTTACGTTACCATGATTAATTTTTCTTACTCTAATTAAAAGAGTTATGTGTTAATTGCGTTTACCAGACGCAGCCTTGATTAATTGCCGCCTCTGAATTTCCCGTCTTAATTGTTTTTTCATGGAATTATAATTTTCATGGTTTAATTCATGTTATTGCTGTTTTTTCCCCTTTGTACCTTCATAATAGTACTGAATTGTCACGTGTGTGTTATTGCTATTTTTTTATGATTTAATTCATGTTATTGGGAGAAAACACAATAAACATCGATCAATCTTCCTTATCTATCTATATCAATATCATATTATACTAAAACTAGGAAGCTCTTACCTTCAAAGTTGAATTAAGATAATATCATTTAAATTCTAAGTTATAATTTTGTTCTTGAAAAAAAAAACCTTCAATTAAATAATATTCAAATTAGATTAGAGTTAGACGTTGATGTTGTAGTACTTTAATGCTTCATCAAATCAATTCAATGGATTCAGTTAGGTTTAGGCCATTCATATTCTCCTTCCTAGAAACGCATGCCTTTAATTACATTCATCATAATTAGTTAATTACCAAGAAAAAACGTTTTTGTTAAGTTTTACTCTTTATATTTTCTTTGTTTCATCTTCCATGGTAACATTCTTCTTTTTACTTTCTTTATTTATAGCAATATATATTACGGTAGTTAATTCTGGTTTCATATTCAACACTAGTAATTTCTTTTCACAATCTTTTCACATTTTTCACCACACACTATATAAGTGCACAATAAAATATCTTTGTCCCCTTTATTCTTTTTGTATTCTTTCTGCAATAAATTTCTTTTTTTCAAAAGAGTGTCTTCATTCATCAATATCTGCAACAGGTATATATGTTCCAATTATTTTACGGTGCAAATATTGACTTCTTTTAAGTCCTTTTTGGATCATAGTTAGCAACCTATTATTCTTGACTATGCGATTTCTTGAAAAGTTCAAAAAACGTAGTACTAATGTGAAAAATCCTCTAGAAAGTCAGAAGGTCGATAAGTTAATATGGATAATTTCTAGGACGGTACAAGACCTAGAAATAGCTAATGATGCAATTGTAGACTTCGCTTAGGTCCTTTTTGGATCAGCGCTAATTAACTATTGTCAATATTTGTTGCGAATTATTTAGTATTAATATTGTCATGTCATATTCAATTAGCTTCTGCTGCAACTATAGACTTCACTTAAGTACTTTTGGATCATAGCTAATTAATCACTATAGTACTTAGTGCAGAATATGTTTGTTGCAGATTATTTGATATTGTCACGGCAAAATTCTTATTATGTTCCATATAGCCTTAAATCAATTACTCCATTTAGAAAACACATCAAATAATTTTTTTGTCCTAATTCCAATGCCTTATTATTTAATATGGGTGTTAAATTCATCATCTGCATTAGAACTTAATTTTGATGATAACGATGATTGTGTATATACTTTTTAAGTATTCTTCATAGCTACGTCTTTCTTGTGAGACTTTTCTTTATGGTAATAATATGCTATAATAGATAATATAATCCTTTTTTGGTTGTAGTGCCGTTATTATTTGCTAGTTTGAATTTGATTTTGTTGACTTTGTAGCATGTCAATTTTGTAAGTTTAATCTTCTTAGTTATTCAACTTTGATTGTTTGTTTCTTTCATCTTCCACAGTTATAATATTTTTGCATTATAGCTTTTTTGGCATTCTTCATTATACTCTATAAAGGTGTCACGAACCGAAATCTCACCCAGCTTGATGACGCATATCTCAATACTAGGCAAGCCGACAACATCAATAGCCCACAATTTCTTTTAAATACAAAAAATATAATAATTTAGTTTAAGAAAAAATCCCATAAATATTGGGTAAAATATATTCCCAAAACTCGGTGTCACTGAGTGCAGGAGCATCTATACATTACAAGTCTAGAAAATACGGTTTATAATAGTCTAAGACCAAATACAGTAAACAAGGAGATAGGGAAGGAGAGACAAGGTCTTTGAAACACGACAGCTACCTCTTAATCTTCAAAAAATTAACTGTGCAAAAAAATCAACACCCGCTATGTCCGGGATCAGCTGGATCTGCATATGAAGTGCAGGGTATAGTATGAGTACAAGAGCTCAGTAAATAACAATAATAAATAAGAACTGAAGGTAGTGATGAGCTTCACAGCTAAGTCAAAATACAGTAATTTTCAACATAAAAGGGTAGGCATACTTTCAAGTTCAACATTTAAAATTTTACAGTAATTTTATATCAACTTCGACTGAAATAGAAGATAATGTTTTTTAGAAATTTTCCAAAACAGTGATATATAACCGTTGAAATGCAGCAATAATGAAATTAATGCATCCTCTCAGAGTAACAGTCACTCAGTCCTCCCATTCACTCCAACCTCACAGTCACTCTTTCCTCACAGTCACTCATTCCTCATAGTCACTCATTCCTCACAATTACTCAGCACTTGGCATTCGCACTCAGTAGGTACCTGCGCTCATTGGGGTGTGTGTACAGACTCCGGAAGGCTCCTTCAGCCCAATTACTATAACAAGCCAATCATGGCATAAATCAATGAAGCATGATGCAGCGTGCAGCCCGATCCTATAATTATCCTCACAATTAGGCCCTCGGCCTCACTCAGTCATCAACCTCTCTAGTCTCTCGGGCTCTTAGAAATTATGATAAGCAACCCAACAACAATGATATGATGCATCAATAATGAATAAGAGAGACTTAGATGTAATATACGAGTAAAAATCGTGACTGAGTATGAAACATCAATTTAGCAGATAATTCAACATGTATACGACCTCTATGTGTCCCAACGATATCAACACATAGTTTAAACATGATTTATAAATCTATTTCTCTAAATACGTAAAAAAAACTGTACGGATATCAACAGATTATTCAACTACACAGTTCTATGGAATTGACCAAGTCACAATTCCTACGGTGCACGCCCACACGCCCGTCATCTAGCATGTGCGTCACCTCAAAACCAATCACATATCACATAATTCGGGGTTTGATACCCTCAGGACCAAATATAGAACTATTACTTACCTCAAACCATGTAATTCTTTATTCTGCTATGCCCTTGCCTTGCGAATTGGCCTCCAAACGCCTCGAATCTAGCCACAAATAATCCGATTCAGTCATTAAAAATTATTTGAATTAATTCCATAAGAAAAATACTAATTTTTTAACAAAATCCGAAAGCTAACTCAAAAATCGTCTGTGGGGTCCACATCTCGGAACCCAATAAAATTTATAAAATATGAACGCCCATTCAACCACGAGTCCAACCATATAAATTTTACCAAATTCCGACATCAACTCAGCCCTCAAATCTTCAGTTAAAGTCTTTGAAGATTTCTACCATTTTCAACTCAATCTTTACCCATTTGAACTCAACAATCTTTTCACAAACCTTATTGGTATGTGTATGTATAAATAATACTCTCACACCCAAAAATCATACTCCCAATCACCATCTTTACCCAAACTCGAAATTGAAGCCCAGGGTTAGAAATTCTTACCTCTTTGAAGCCCTAGCAAGATCCTTGTAAAATCTTCAAATCTTGAACAAGAATTGATGGACAAATGACTAGGTCTTCACTTTCTCTCTCTAAGATGCTCTCACCTCTCTCTAAAATATTAGATGAAACCCTTCAAAATGACTCCCAATAGTGTTTTATAAGAATAGGGTCGGGTTTATAAAATCAGAAAAATGAAGCCCCAAAACACTGCGACCGTATAATGCTCATGCAGCCCGCATAATGAGTCGCAAAATGGCTCTCTGGAACTGGGCAATACTGTTTTAGTCTGTGGCAATTATGTGGTCCGTAGACCTATTCTGCGGTCACATAATGCGCGGCAGACCTTCATCCAAACTTGCCCCACTTCTGATTCACTCTGCGACCATTATGTGGTCCGCAGAGTGATTCTGCAATCGCATAGTATGTCGCAGAAATAACTTTTTTCCGACAAAATATTTCCTTTATTCATCGGCGCATTGTTCAACCCAAAAAGTCCGATCCGTTAATCTACCTCGACACCTCAAAACCTTTTCAATTTAAGTTCTAAACCTTGGAACTAAGTGTTCCACATCATTTCAAAACCTCACCGGACCCTAACTAATTACCCTGACAAGTTAAATAACAAGTGAAAAGCACAGTTTGAGTAGTAAATGGGAAAACAGGGTTGTAATACTCAAAACGACTGGCCGGATTGTTACAAAAGGTGCATAATAAAGTGTCAATGGTGACAAACTTGATCACACACAAAGCATCCGTGGTTCCTACTTTCATAATGTTGTTACATATTTTATTCATAAATTTTATCATCTTATATATTTTCTTCAATATGAAATTTTTTACTTGAAAACTTGTGAGATAATATTTAAATTCTCATCGAAAATTACTGATGTTAAAATTACTGATACTATTATATTTATTTAATTCAACTAATATTCTTCTATCAAATTCACAGATGAAAGGGCTCATAATTTTGAATCACACAAAGGGTACATGTACGTGTAATTATGATTTATACATATGAATCAAATTTATTGATTTCAACAATTATTATATATCTCTATCACAATTAACTACTATTTCTATGCAGTTGTACGCCATAAAGTTGACATTCAGTTTCTAGCCATCCTAAGAAAGATATATGTTGATCGAATTTCTTTACAGCTTCTACAAAATTCTACTTTCATTCGACAACAACTTCTTGATATGTACGCGACTGTAAAAAAAGAGGAAACTACAGTTTTTTAAACATAAGACACAAAATTTAAGACAGGTAGCACGTGCAACAATAACCGATATTGCTGAAGCATAGTAGGTTCACCATTATTTAGTTTGAGCTTACAAATTTTCTTCTTCAAAATTTGTGTAACTCATTGCACACTTATTTAAAGAATATTC